TGAAAAGAAAGCTGAGTAGCAATACTTATATCAGACAAAATAGACTTTAAAACAAAAAGTGTAGCAAGAGAAAAAGAAAGGCACTACACAATAATAAAGGGAACAATGCAACAAGAAGACATAACACTTGTAAATATCTATGCAGCCAACAAAGGTGCACCTACATATATAAAGCAATTATTAACAGATATAAAAGGAGAAATAGACAACAACACATAACAGTAGGGGACTTTAACATTCCACTTTCATTAATGGATAGATCATGCAAACAGAAGATCAATAAGGAAACATTGGCCTTAAATGATACATTAGACAAGGTGGACTTAGTAGATATATATAGAACATTCCATCCAAAAACTGCAGAATACACACTCTTTTCGAATCCACGTAGGACATTGTCCAGGATAGATGCCATATTAGGCCACAAAACAAGTCTCAATAAATTTAAGAAGATTGAAATAATACCAAGCATCTTTTCTGACCACAATGGTGTGAAACTAGAAATCAACTACAAGAAGAATGCTGGAAAAGCCACAAAAATGTAGAGAATAAACAAAGTGCTACTGAGCAATGATTGGGCCAATGAAGAAATCAAAGAAGAAATCAAAAAATACCTAGAGACAAGTGAAAATGAAAATATGACATGCCAAATTTGTGGGATATAACAAAAGTAGTAATAAGAGGGAAGTTTATAGCAATACAGGCCTACCTTAACAAACAAGAAAAATCTCAAATAAACGATCTAACAGTGCACCAGAAGAAACTAGAGAAAGGAGAACAAACAAAGACCAAAGTCAGTAGAAGGAAGGAAATAATAAAAGTTAGAGCAGAAATAAATGAAATAGAGACTAAAACATAATAGAAAAAAATCAATGAAATTAAGAGCTGGTTCTTTGAAAAGATAAACAAAATTGACAAACCTTTAGCTAGACCCACCAAGAAAAAAAGAGAAAGCTCAAATAAAATGAGAATCAAAAGAGGAGAAATTATAACAGACACCTCAGAAATACAAAGGATTATGAGAATACCACGAAAAGCTATATGACAGAAAATTGGATAATCTAGAAGAAATTAATAAATTCTTAGAATCATACAAGCCTTCGAAACTGCATCTAGGAGAAATAGAGAATATGAATAGACCAATCACCAGTAAGGAGATCGAAACAGTAATCAAAAACTTCCAAAAGACGAAAGCCCAGGACCAGATGGCTTCCCCAGTGAATTCTACCAAACATTCAAAGAAGACTTAATGCTTTTCCTTCTCAAACTCTTCCAAAAATTTGAAGAAGAGAGGAAGTTTCCTAACTTATTCTATGAAGCCAACATTACCGTGATACCAAAACCAGACAAGGACAGCACAAAAAATGAAAATTATAGGCCAATATCACTGACGAAAAAAATCCTCAACAAAATACTAGCAAATCAAATACAACAATATATTAAAAAGATCATACACCATGATCAAGTGGGATTTATTCCAGGGATTCAGGGATGGTTCAACATCCACAATTCAACAGGATACACCACATCAACAAAATGAAGAATAAAAATAACATGATCTTCTCAATAGAGGCAGAGAAAGCATTTGACAAGATTAAGCATCCATTTATGATAAAATCCTTGAATAAAATGAGTATAGAAGGAAAGCACCTCAACATAATAAAGGCCATATATGACAACCCCACAGCTAATATCGTACTCAACTGTGAAAAATTGAAAGTTATCCCTTTAAGAACAGGAGCAAGACAAGAATGCTCACTTTCACCATTCTTATTTAACATAGTACTGGAGGCCCTAGCCAGAGAAATAAGGCAAAAAAGAGAAAGAAAAGGGATTCAAATTGGAAAGGAAGAAGCAAAACTCTCACTATTTGCAGATGACATGATTTTATATGTAGAAAACCCTAAAGAATCCACCAAGGCTTTTAGAAAAAATCAACAAATACGGTAAAGTTGCAGGATACAAAATCAATGTACAAAAATCAGTTATATTTCCATACACTAGCAAAAAAATAGCAGAAAGAGAAATTAAGAATACAATCCCATTTAGAATTAGAATACAATCCCGAGTAAAATACTTAGGAATAAATTTAACCAAAGAAATGCAGGACTTGTACACTGAAAACTATAAAGTATTGTTGAAAGAAATCAAAGAAGACATAAAGAAATGGAAAGATAGTCCCTGGCCATGGATTGAAAGAATTAACATGATAAAGATGTCCATAGTTCCTAAAGCAATCTACAGATTCAATGCAATCCTTATCAAAGTCCCAACAATATTTTTCAAAAAATAAAACAAAGACTCCTAAAATTTATATGGAACAAGAAAAGACCCCGAATAGCCAAAGGAATTCTGAGAAAAAAAGAACAAAGCTGAAGTTATCACACTCCCCAATTTAAAAATATACTGCAAAGCTATAGTAACCAAAACAGCGTGGTGCTGGCACAAAAACAGACATACAGATCAGTGGAACAGAATTGAGAGCCCAAAAATAAACCCACATGTCTACGAACAGCTAATTTTCAACAAAGGATCAAAGAGCATACAATAGAGAATGGAAAGTCTCTTCAATAAATGATGATAAGAAAACTGGACAGTCACATGCAAAAGTATGAATGTAGACCAGTTTTTAACGCTATACACAAAAATTAACTCAAAATGGATTAAAGACTTGAATATAAGACCTGAAACCATAAAACTGCTACAGAATAACACAGGCAGTATGCTCTTCAACACTGGTCTTAGCAGTCTCTTTTCAAATACCATGTTGCATCAGGCAGGGGAAACAAAAGAAAAAATAAGCAAATGGGACTACATCAAACTAAAAATCTTCTGCACAGCAAAGGAAACCATAAACAAAACTAAAAGTCAACCTAACTATTGGGAAAACATATTTGCAAATCATATATCTGACAAGGAGTTAATATCCAAAATACATAAATAACTCATAAATCTCAAGAACACAAAAACAAAGAACTCAATCAAAAAGCTGGCAAAAGATCTGAACATTTTTCCAAAGATGTACAGATGGCCAACAGGCACATGAAAAGATGTTTAGCATTACTAATAGGGTAATGCAAATCAAAACTGCAATGAGATATCACCTCACACCCATCAGAATGGCTATAATTAACAAGACAAGAAATACCAAATGTTGGAGAGGATTTGGAGAAAAGGGAAAGCTCATACACTGCTGGTGAGATGTAAACTGGTGCAGCCATTATTCAAAACAGTATGGAGATTCCTTGAAAAATTAGGAATAGAACTACCGTATGATCCAGCTATTCTACTTCTGGGTATTAATCCACAGAACGCAAAAATATGAATGTGTAAAGATATTTGCACCCCTATGTTCATCACAGCAGTGTTCACAATAGTCGAGACCTGGAAACAACCTAAGTGCCCATCAGTGGATGAGTGGATAAAGAAAATGTGGTATATACATGATGGAATACTACTCAGCTATAAAAAGCAGATGAAATCTTGCCATTTGCAACAACATGGATGGAACTTGAAGGTATTATGCTAAGCAAAAAAAGTCAGACAGAGAAAGTCAAATACTGCATGATTTTATTCATGAGTAGAAAATAAAAACAGCAACAACAATACGTAGACACAGAGATTAGATTGGTGGCTACCAGAGGGGAAGGGGTGAGAGAGGAGGGCAAAAACCGGGATAGGGCACTTGTGTATGGTGAAGGATGGCAATGAGTCTTTGAGTGGTGAACATGGTCTAATCTACACAAAAATCAAAATATAATGACATACATGTGAAATTTATACAATGTATAAAACCAATGTTACCTCAACAAAAAAGGAGAAAATATTTTTAAAATTTTTTAAAAATTTTAAATTTTACTATGAATTTAAAAGCTACTCCATTCCTTCCTCCTCAACCTTTTGGCATTTTCTTGACAGGTTCCTTTTAAGTTTGAATTGTTCTCAATATATGTTTTTTTTTTGTTTATTTATGGTAAAGATAAAGCAGGGATTTGTAATATTTAAGTAGGAGATGCTTTATTCTGATTTTTAAAAGTCGTTTTAAACAATTTTCTGGATAAAATTATCACTGCTTTTATTTATATTTTAGGATGTTTAGAGCTCAATCATTAATTGTGTTTACAACATAGAGAAGTTATCACCAGGGGCAATGGAAGTCTTTCCTTGCTGATTAGCTCAGCTCATTTCTGATCGTTGTCTCATGATCTTTAAGTCCTGCGTGGGGTCTGAATACAAGCCTCAGTTTTCACAAAAAGATATCCGTAGACTTGATTGTGCAGAAAGGCATGTGTTTGAGGTCCTGAATTTTTGATGTTTTGGCCAGGCATTTGCCACCGTTACAAGACTGAGAGGGAAACATGCAGAGTGATGTCCACATGGCTCACACATGGTCCAGTCCTGCTCATCAGGACTGTGGGCACCATTACTATGACTTTGGCTCCAAGTCCTTGTGTGAAGTCCCCACCCTTTAGAGCTGGGCTGGACCATGTGTGAGTCACATGGATGACCTTTGCATCTGGCCTAAAGCCTGTTTGATCCCATGGGCACAGTGAATTTTGTAACTTACAGCTTGCCCACCCCCATTTTCTCGCTGAGTGCACAAAATCTTAGACATATAATCAGAGATCCTAGCAAGGAAGTAGCCTTTCTTGGTATAAGTTTTATGCACAGCCCTGATTTCTGGTTTAATCCTCCTTTCAAAATCATTTATGCTGGTATATCGTTCTTTTTCATTTAATTTTCTGTAAGGTGTATACGTCTCTAAATTGCTTCACATTTTTAAGAACAAGTCAGGGACCAAAAGCAGAGTCCAGAGATAAAATCACATTACTCTATTACCTCAAAGGATAGCAGTACAGATTGTCCCACCTGCTGCCTTACACATTGCTGCACACAGATGCACATGTACACGCATGTATGCACATGTACCAAGAGACATTTCTCAGGAGGGCACACTCTAGTGCCCACTGTCTGCAGAGCGAGGATCTCTTGTGACAAAATCACATATTAAAGTGTTGACTGAGACCTCTCATCAGAACTCGACTCAGAGCAGCCTTCATCTCCTTGTTCCGCAGACTGTAGATAAGTGGATTCAACATGGGAGTCACCACAGCAAAAAAGAGCACCACCACCTTGTCCTTCTCAGCTGAAGCCGTGGAGCTGGGCTGCATGTAGGTAACCAGGGCCATCCCATAAGACATGGAGACCACAGTGAGGTGGGAGGCACAGGTCCCAAAGGCTTTGAGGCGTCCACTGGTGGAGTGGATCCGCAGGATGGCAACCACAATGTGAGTGTAGGACAGGGAGACCAGGAAGCAGGGCAGCAGCAGCACCACCACACTGGAGGCCATTATGACCGCCTGGTTGAGGGTGATGTCCACGCAGGCCAACCTGACCAGTGCCAGTGTCTCACAGGACACATGGTTCAGCACGTGGTGCCCACAGGTGGGCAGGCGCATGGTGACCGCTGTCTCCACTGCAGAATTAGCTAGGCCCACAAGCCAAGAGACCAATGCCAGGGCCGCACAGCGCCTTGGGCCCATCACTACCACGTAGTGCAGTGGGTCACAGACCGCCACGTAGCGGTCATAGGCCATTGCTGCCAGTAGCAAGAACTCAGTCCCTGCCAGAGCCAGTGAGAATAAGAGCTGGGTCGCACATCGAGTGAAGGAGATGGTCTTCTTCTCCAGGAGGAAGTGTGCTAGCATCTGGGGGACCCAACTGGAGATGTAGCAGATGTCCAACACTGCTAGGTTGCAGAGGAAGAAGTACATGGGCAGGTGCAGTTGCCTGTCCAGCCCAATCACAAGGACAATGAGCCCGTTACCCAGCAGGGTCAGTAGATATGCAACCCCAAACAGGACAAAGAGTCGAGCCTGAATCTGCCTGTCACTGGAGAGCCCCATGAGGACAAACTCACTCACCCAGGTCAGGTTGTCCTTCCTCATGCAGCAGGTGGGTCAGGCTGTCAGAGGGAGAGACAGAGTCAGGTAGGAGCAAGTGATTCTCTTAGTTTAGAAGTTTGGGATTAAGCCCTGGGCTATCACTGGGCCTGGAATTGGGATACCTCTCCTCAGGTTCCTTACCTAGGGAGAATGTAGTGAAGATGCTGGAGAAAGAGACATTTGGGTTCTCACACTAGACAGTGAGATTCTCAAGGATAAAGTCCTTGATCATCCTTGTATGTCTAGGATTCAACACAGTTACAGTTATAGAGAAGGTAAGCTATCAATGCAGAAGGAAAGATAGGGAAAGAAATTGGTGGAGAAAAGGGAGAAAAAAATGATAGAAAGAAAGAAAAAAGAAAATAAAAGAGAAACAACCCCAAAAACTACAGAAGGAAGGTAGGAAAATGGGAAAAGAGGAAGAACAGTGGAGCCCATGGAGTAAAGAAAAGACTCTTCAGTGGGGGGAGCATGGATAGAGTATTCTAATCAGACAACAGAGACCAAGAGGGGCACCCCATGTTCCTCAGTCTTGCTCTCAAAAAACTAGATTCAATTTTTCTTCATGTTTCTTCTCTGGTCTGGTCTAGGTCAGTGCCTAGAAAGGAATCCTCTCATTTCCTTATTATTGTGCCAATCAATCCAGATGACACATCAATTCTTTAAACCAACGTCAGTTAAGCTCCTGCTTTGTGCAGGGACTGTGCTAGACATCAGACATCTGTCTGTGAACCAAAAAGACAGACTATGAGCCTTGCTTACTTTGTTCTTATAAGGTTATCAGAGACATTTTAATAATTACAAAAAATTGATTAATATATTTGTGCTAAGTGCTATGTAGGAGAAGAACAGGGTTACTAGCTGGCTAATTAAATTTGCAGCTGTAATTAATTAAATACCACTACCACTTCTCAGTAATGTGCAATTTATATAGTAAGTTGTAGGCATATCTTCAGATATTTAAACAAATAATTAACAAAATAATGTAATGAGAGCATTTGTAAGCCAACGATACTCACAAGCTACTAGTGAGGATGAAGTGACTGGAATCTACTGAATCTTCTCAGAGAGAGTGAATTCTCCTTTCTCAGCTAAGATTGTACTGAGTTATCTCCCTTCCAACACGTCGACCAGCCCTCTACAAAAATAGATTTAAAAGCCATCAGTTTTTCTTAATGGAAATGTAATCTCAAGGTGTATTTGCTATGTTAAAATAATTAGTAAATTAATTAACTCATTTATTAAAAATGTATTGAGTATACGAGCCATTACACTTTCGACCAACTTCTAGGAAATTCTGCCTTTCAACATTAGGAATCTGTGTTTAAAAAATCAACAGTGTCTCAGAATCAAATTTAAAAAAATGAAAAATTAGGTCTTGGTAAAATCTGCAAGAATCAAATGAGACAGCCGAACAAAGGACAAATGAAATAACTCATCAGTGTTCAGAAAACCAGAGCAGAACCACAGAATCAAATACAATAGAATTGGAAAGCATTATTCAAGTCAGATGTTCTGGCTGGGAACGCTGGCCTGGGCTTTCATTGGTGAAGGGAGAGAGCAGAGAAGCTGGGTGGAGCAGGCATCTCTTGCCTTCCACTCAGCCCTGGCCCTGAGGTGACCAGAAGCGATCACTGCAGAGACTGCTAAGAATAGAAACTGGCTTTAGGTTCTCAGGGTTGGAGATGGGTCTGAGGGCCAGAGTGCTGTAGCTGGTGGCTGGGCACTACCCCTTGTATCAGCAGAGGAAGTAACTCAGCTCTGATCTACTACTATCTGGAGGCTGCAACAGCATCCAGAATCCTCACCTTTAAAGTGATGATCATGGATCCAGATTCCCTCCAGAAGGACCCTGTTATTATATAAAAATAAAAAATGTGAGAAATTAAAGGAACCATACAGATCATGTATTCCATCAATTTCATTCTACAGATGAAGAAACCAAGGATATTTTTTCCAATAAATTTTTGATGCTGTTTAGATGATAATAAACTATTTTTGTTAATAGATAGCCTCACCCTCTGATTTTGGGATAATTAGAGAATTTCATTCCATTTTGTTTGACTAAGTGAACATGTACTTAGCACTGAGTAGTGCCTCCTCCAGAGGCAGGTGCTGGGATAATAGGGATGAATACAGCCTGGTCTCCCTTTCCAGGAACAGCCTGGAAGGAGGATAGAGAGGGTGAGTCATCACGACCTTATCAGAGGTTTCAGACGAAGCTGGAGTATCAAGTCTGATAACTTGAGACATAGAGCCAGACTATGTAAATAGTCACCCAGATATGCAGATAAAATGAAATAGAAGCAAAGAAACAGCCAGTGCAATTGCTTCTTGAGAAAGTACATGTGATTTAAGGTATACGTAGATTGGTAGTGAGGAGACCTCAGTGTCAACCTGTATCAATAAGCCATCTAGGTACCATCATAAATCTCTGCCTCTTCAAGCCATAGTTTCTTAATCTGTAGAATGAGCAACTGAGGTAAAGAGCAGGATTTCTTCAGCGTTAAAGATCTGCAATAAATGAATATACATAAGCTGTGCTTTACATTAGTATTAAAGGGAAAAATAAATTCTTCATTCTTTGCTCACTGTTGGTGCGCATATCTAGTGGGACTGTAGGCAGTTAGATATGACTGGTTACTGGATTTGGAGACCAAAGCATTCATATCACACATAACTGTTTGGGGAAGAGCCAATTATTGGAACCAAGTTGACCTGAAAACCAGAGGCTAAAGATATGGGGAAGGAGCCATACAAACAAAAATGGAAGACCCACTTGGGTCAAGGCTGAAAGACTTGTAGCATCCGATACATGAGCTTCTTTCCAAAGTCAGTCCCACATCATTCCTAGAGTAGGATGACCCCTAACACTAAATTTTCCACCAGACCAAGAATCAAACCTGTTCCATAGGGATTACGCTTCTAATGATTGAGAATGTTCACTATCCTCTTCTTCAAGAAAAGATGGAGTCTATGTCTATCTTTGGTTCTTATACCAAGCCCAGCCCTTCTTCATTCCTTCTTCTTATTTTCAACATGATGCAGATGCCTTAAGGACAGAAAAAGAGCCTTATTCCTTTGACCTCCACTTTTTACTTCTTTGATTGTAAGTCTGCATATACTCAGCACTTCAGTTTATGCTGTTGACTCGATGACTGTCCAAGACCCAGGACTGTTTTGAATGGCTTGAAAACAGTATGTTGCATCCTCTAGGTCATGGGAAGAATCAAAGAGCCTCTAACTTTAACTTGTAGAAAAACACAATGGAGGATATTTGGGAAGTCCTGGCTGTTCCCAGGGATTTGGGCTCAATCTTCTCACCACCTCCTCTTAACCTTCTCTGTGGGGGACTTACTGAGGCTGAGTGCTCATCTCATGCACAGAACACATTTTGAACGGGGGCAGCACATCTCTCATGAAGTCCTTGAAGCAATTGTCCATCATCTTCCTGGGGATGGAGGTTTTACTTTGTCGGTCTTAGATGATAACTTTTTCAGAACCTAAGAATCCCTAGAGGGCAATTACTTGCTCTTGGTGTGTTCTTTTACCCATTTTCCCTCACCCACCCCCCAGCTACTTCTCTGCAACCAAGCTCCTCGCACTTCTAAGTTCCCTTGATGATAAACCTTCTGAAAAGATTTTATCTCAACTTTTAATTGTCCTTCTACTTCCCAGGCTAGTGAGCCCTTCCCTGACTCTTCAAGGCTATGGCATTGTTGGGGACTTTTGGCAGGAGTCAGGAGTGAGGAATATTTACGCTTCTGACCTATGGAAGGGATTGATATTGTCTTCACAAATAACCAATAAACATTCTATAGGTAAGAGAAATAAGGTGAATTTTACTTGAGCCAGAGTAAGGATTATAACCAGGAAAGCTTCAAAAAGCCTTCTGGAGAAGCATAGTTTTCAGTAGTCTTTTATCTTTTTCATACAAAGTACATACAATGAACATGCCACACATTAAACGTATTCATTAAAGTTTCAAAGAGGTTTTCAGTTGCAAATTAGCAGGCCAACATGACCCTGAGGTGTGAGAGGGACTAATCCAGGTGTTACTAATAGGTCATAAGAGAGGAAGCATGCATTCTTATCTTAAGAGAGTGCATTCTTTAATGCTTAAACAGATATAGAATGTATGCTTGATAGGCCATAAATCAGGCTTTTTCATTCAAGTTGAATCAGTTTTGAAACTGAATAGTTACCCCATATCCCTCAATATGTGAAAATCTTTTGTCAGTGTCAATTAGGAAGGAGAAGAGAAATTACAATCTCAGAGCCTGATCTTCCTAAGGGAAGAAATGAATGCACCTCGCCCCTTTTTCCACACCTGTAGTTTTAGTGAGTAGGGAGTGGCAAGTAGGCTCTGCACTGTAGAAACATCATATCCATAGACTGGAAGCCATTGAGAAGTCCCAAGTTCACAGACATCAAAATATTTCCATAGGCTTCTTAGTGGTCTCCTTCATCACATTTCTGTTGAGTTTTGTTTTCTTTGCATATTTTCATATCACCAGAAGCTTTCCCAGCTTTCTGTAAGCTTATTCTCCCAGTTCTTGATCATCTTCCACGAAGTTTGAATCTCTTCACTGGAAATACTAGAAGGAAGAGAGTAAATAATGAGTCAGGATGGGGTTTTATTCCCAATATTAATCTACCTGTTTTTGGTAATAGAACATGGGTCTTTGGTAAGATGGAAGGGGTGTTGTCAGCAAGGAGCCTACTAGAATTTTATGTAACAATTGGCCAATATCAGCAAGATAAACTATTAATTATCTTGAAGATTTGCCACTTTAATGACAATGGACTGGGGAATTCTAGTTTCACATCATGATGTTTCCTTTGTGCAGGACCTGCAGAATCTCAGTTTCATTTCTGCTCCTTCAAGCATCCAACTAAGCCCAGGACCCAAAAGACCAGAAGCTCTCCCAGCCTCAAAGTCCAACAAAAGCAAAAACTGATGGGACATTCTAACTGAAAGATGGAGCCAAAAGTTAAGAAGA